GCCAAAAAAGGGAAGTAGAAATCATGCATGGTAAGTGTTGATAAGATTGTAATACATGTAACCAGTATATTAACCTATGTGTGTGCTTTTGAGAAATAAGTGACTTTTTCAAATTCTTTTCTCCCTTATTGAGATGAATAGGTCCATTATTTAACTGTTTGTCTTGTCCCCCTTTGTTACTTCGCAAGCATATTAATTGGACTGGCCACGCTTGTGTAGGCGGGTACTAAGCATTTGGGTTGTCAGTCTGTCATTCTGTCCACACACTTTAATTGAATTGTAAAAAAATTATCTTTTTGTCTGAGCAGTTTGGAGCTGTATTTCTTCTTCTAGCAACAAATACAGTTTTCTTTTTCATCTAGTTATGCTCTTGTAGCATCCCGTGGCACCAAAAGCTGTTAACTGTAAACCAGGGGACCTCTCTCCAGGTGAGAGCTCGTGTTTCACTCTACAGGGCCAAAATTTGCTTCAGAGGTAGAAAATCCCATCTAACGCAAAACAAAAAGAACGATTTTGTCCTAACTTCGTTGTTTGTGAGTTACAGTTGCTCAAAGTTTGTGATTTAGCCTCTTTGAGAATTTTTCAGGCGACACTGTGGAAAGCAGGAGCAACCAAACTCTCTCAGTCTCTTTTAAATTTCTAGAAAAATTTTCTGTGCCAAATCTTTCATGGAATAGAGCTTCAGATGCTAAAATAAATTTCAGCTTTTCTTCTTTCTCCTACCCATGTGCCGTGATTTAGTTAGTTGTTGACCACACCCATAGCTTATTTTAATTATCATTATAACTATGCAGTCAATAATAATTTTTTACTTCAAATTGCTTAAAATATCACAGTGCAAGTAATACATAATTTATCACTCAGGTGAATTCCTGCAGGCGAGTCCATTGCACCATAGTGCTTCATTCTTTTTGTGTTTGTAACTGTATATGTACATGTTTGTGTTCCTAGAGGTAATTGTAGTTTCATTTTTATCTGCGGTACACTGTATTAATAATTAAATAATAATGATAGTGCTATTAATATTATTGGTAATATTATTGATAATCTAATCGAGCCTGACCTAATTTATATTACAATGATAATAATAATGACAGTAGTATTGTACATTTAGAATGTTATGTTTCTTGATTACTATACTAGAAGTACTATATCAAACAATATGTACATACGATGGCTTTCGAAGCCTTTTCTTTTGGATGTACTATAAAAATATTTATCATAAAATTAAAAAAATACTTGTTCATTTATTTACTTTAATTATCAGCCATATGTAGCTCACTACACATAATAATACGCGTATGACATCTAAAAAGTGAAATAGTATTTAGTGACAGTTTTAGCATTAGTTTTGGTTTTGGTAGAATAGTTTTAATTTGTGTTGGAAAAGTCGTTATCCACTGAAACTGTGACTGTACACAGTTTACTGAAACTAAGCAAATATTCTTAGTTTACCGTACATGTATTAGTTTAGTAAGCTACATGTAGGTCAAAAATTTTTTTTGGTTTAGTTAATCAAAAGTAAAATACACATGTACTTATATTTTACTACAAACAAGCACTGAAATTGAAAGGCATCAAGAAAGTTCTTACTTATCATTTTGATGATATCCATAATTGCTTAGTGATGCTATAATTTGGACTTTCCTCAGTTTTATTGTTCTTGCCTTTGCTATCAGTTCCTTTTATATTTTTTTGGCTGTGCAAGCAAAGGCTTGTTACTAACCAACATGCAACACTTCGTGTGTAACAGCTCTGAGCTTGCCTAAGCTGTCAAGTTTTTGCATAATATCTTAGGGTGCATGTACTTAACTCTACATGGCAATGATAGCATTTTGAGGATGCTTTTGCCATTTAGACAAATTTTACAAAGTCAATATTAATTTACCTTTGACTATAATTATTATAATTTGCCACAATTTTTGAGCTTGTGTATTTCATAGTAATTTTGACAGGCCTTT